AATTGAAATTAATAAAGTGATGTGGAATACAAATTCTGGACTAACGGAATCTCACCCTTATGACTCTCATCCGTCTTCTTGGATTTTCATGAGGCGTGGAATTAACTTCTGGGGTAAAGAACACCGTCAGATTTATTTAATAGGGAATCCATTAACATGGTGGTCTTCTACATTTGCCTTATTTATATTTATTGTTGCAAAATCTGTTTTAATCCTGAGAGCAAAAAGAGGTTATAAGGATCATTTTAACTGTAAGGATTTTTTTTTGTTTTAAATTGCAAATTTTTGAGGTTCTGATTTTTACATAAATTAATATATATTTGATTATAGCGACTATAGTACATTTTGATTCCAATGCGAGTTTCCTTTTTGTTGGATGGTTCCTTCATTATTTTCCATTCTTTTTAATGAAACGACAACTTTTCTTACATCATTATTTCCCATCATTATATTACGCCATTTTACTTATTGGTATAGGATTTGATTTATTTACGATTCGATTACAAAAAAGGGAACGTTACATAGCAGCCACAATATTTTTATTAGCAGTAATATATTTTTTTTCAATATTTTCACCAATGGCTTATGGTAATCCATGGATAAAAAGTGAATGTCAAAGTGCTAAATGGTTAAATACTTGGGATTTTAATTGTGATCAACATTTTGATACTTATGACCAATTTTATAATGAAGATTTAAAAAATGTAGATCAAGCAAATATTATAACAAAAACTGAAGATTCTATATCACTTGATGATAATAATCAAAAGGAACCACACAACGTATCAAAAGATGATGTGGATCAATTGTTTGAGAATGATCATAATAATGATAATAATGATATTGTAAATATACTTAATGAAGATGAGATTCGAAACGATGATGACAGAGTAAATTAAGGAATATTAGTAAATGAGAAGAATATATGATGTACATCGTAGTGATGAACAAAACATCATGAATCTTATAATTTATTATAATTATAATTATTATTATTAAATTATTAAATTCGACTATCTTTTAATGATTATATTCTAATTAAAAAATTTAAAAAATTCAAATAAATATATTAAATCTGTCAATCTCGTGACAATTAATTCCGGGCCCTGATGATGGTATGGTTCTATTTTAGGGAGTTCAATGATGAAGTAAGCGCGCATGTGTCGTTGAAATCAATGAGATCATCGAGATCTTGTTTATTTACCAAAAAAAATTCCCGATGCCAAGTACCCTAATTAATATACATTGTTTTTACGGAAAATTCATCGTTCCCGTGCCATTTGAATGAATTAAATGAATTAACTTAAAGTTATTAATACAATTATGAAACTTCATGATGAAAAAAATTAATCACAAGATTGTCATATGAGCAAACGAAAAAACAAAAACAAAAATATTAAAGATTCTTTAGTTCGGGTTCCTGTAAATTATTTGCAGAAATTTTATCAGTTTGCATTTAATATTATTTGTGCGATATAATAAATAAGTGGATGATTAAAGTAATTCTCAATAATGCTGTAATGCTGCTATATCACATGATGCATAGAAACACAAGGTTTATCATCCATGTGACTTGACAAATAATTTGTTTTTCATAAATGAAATCTAATTACGTTCCTTTACTTTGCAAAATAAATTATCTAAAATTAATGTTAGCAAGTCATATGGTCACAAGTTTTTAGAGAGAACTAATGAAATTTGGTTCATGTTACAACTTGCAGTTTCATTTTTGTTTTCCAATCCTAGAAAATTCAGTAACCGAAAAACCTTTTTGTAAAACAAAAAAAAAAATTTTTTCGGAGAAGTTCCAATTTTAATTTAGAAGTTCGTCCGTTAAAAAAAAAAAATCCTGATCCAATCGCTATACCTGCTTTATCGGTTATATACTCCTAAATTCGAGAAATCGAGTCACGAGAGATTTTCACATGATTTATATTTGATTCCAAGTTTATAATTCTGACCGGGGTACTACGGTCAAATTAACTACCCTTTTGGTACGGAAACAAATTTGACTAACTAATTCTCTTTAATCCGGGTCATGTTATATTGATTCTTTGTCTGAGCGATTAAAATCGGTTTAGTATAAATGAGCATCTGAATAGCACAAAACGCGTATCCTAATCAGATCTATAGAAAATCAGTATATTTATGTGCATGCACTAAAGCGATATGGCAATGACACGCGAAAAAGATGATTGGATTACAATGGGATGGGTAAACAATCATTATGATCTATCGCGTTATGGAAATATTTATATTCATGTACAAGGTGGGATGACTGAAGCTAATTGCGTATTGTTTCATCGGTCAAATCTGTAATCCGTAAAAGTAAAAGATTATATGGGACCCTTGCAATAGAGAGGGGTACTATGTTCAGTAACCTCATTTTTTATCACCCTTTTCTATTTCAAAGGTCCCACAAGTTGTTGCATTATTTGTTTTTTTTTCATTATTTGTAATCAAATTAAATCTCCTTTTAGAACAAGCTTACCAAAATTCCTCGAGGAAGTCTTATTTCAAATGAACAGATGACCCTTTTTTTTATTACATGACAAATAATTCAGAACACAGAATTCGCTTAAATGCAAGAATTCACGGAACACGTATCATATGACTTCCTCGGGTCACTCAAACGTCATCATGCATTTATTTCGCACGTGATAAATAAATTCACAACCTTCGATTTTGGGAGATTCATCTTTTCTAAAGGATCGAAATTCGATTTATTACAAGTCATCGATAAATAAAAGAAAGCAATCTTTGAAAGAAAGAGAACTTTGGCACGCCCAAGGACATTTTTCTTTCGTCCCGTCATAATTGCTGAATAATTAAAGGGCAATATGAAACACATCATCACAATGTGACTTGGTTTCGGAAAATTGCTTGGCAATTGTTTTAATTGGTTCAAGAGATTTTTATTTATCCTAAAATTAAACAAACAAAACCTTGGCTGATCGTTGTTTAAAAGTGTAGGTTAAACAAAAACTTTTATATGACGACCCAAAATGGTTAAGCAATATACGAATTTTTTTTATAAATAAAGCTCGAATTTTTTTTTTTTTTTTTCAGATTAAGCTTTTTAACTCTTAAGAACAAAAAAGATAAAAAAAGTACAAAATGACTCCACCTTCACAAATCGCAACGAGACCGTTTAAGACGAATACCCCGTCAAAACGTGGACGAAAGTCTTACACAACACCCGATGTTATTGACGTTACAGGAAAAACGCATTTCATGGTGGTTCGAAGGTTGCAGACGAGCGCTAAGAAACAAAAGAAAAAGTTTAACGAATGTAAAAATTGCGAACAAAGTGATGAATATGTGGATATACTCGAAAAAAGAGTAAACTCATTGGAAAACCTAGCTAACAACCTTAAAAAGGTCACGAATGAAAGCCCAGCTACAAGAAACTCGGTTAATACCAACGAATTCAATTGCTATTCACATTTAGAAATGAGCAATATGCTCCGGTTCGCCAATTCAATTGGGGATATCATACAAGGAAGAATACAAAATACCCAACAAAGTTTACCATCCACCACGATTGATGAGTTAATCAACGAAAATATAATATCCGAGCTTTGGAATGTTCCCGGTCACGATATGTTTTAATTAACGTAAAGTTTTGCGCAAACAAAAAAATAATTGCCATTCCCAGTAATTAATATTTATTTAAAAAAAAAAAAAAAAAAAGAAAGAAAGAAAATTTCTTTAATTACTATCAACGCGTTCTACAAACATGATACCATTCCCTTACTTGCATTAAAAGATATTCGATTTTTTCCTTTCAATTCCATAGTTTATAATTTAAGCGTATTAAGATTATATAGTTTTGGATAAAACTTTTTTTATTATCTTTTTTCATCTATATGAATTTATTTTCTCTTTGCATTTCTTTATTTGTTTATCTGTCATCTTTTAATTTTTGTAATTAATATTCATTGAAATCATTAATAAAGGTTTCAAAGTTTTGTTTTCCTTCAAAAAAAAAGAGGTTACTGTAGCGAATGTTCCACGCATTTCATTCATAGCATTTCGTTGTTTGATTACCAGTAATTAAATTTCTTAATCTTCCAATCGAAACCGCGGTAGAAAGCTATGTGTTGTTTAATATATTGTAATCCATTTTACAGCAGAACTGAAACATAAAATAATTTACTTATTAAGTTTCATTTATACAATGACATTTATATTAATATTGATTGGTAATTAATAGATGGGGGGTTTTTTTTTCTTTTTTCTGCCATAAATTTAAAAGTACTTCCATAAAAAGACGTTCTATGGAAACAGCCAAATTAACAAAAAATAAGCAGGGTCTACATACAGGGTTCGGAATTTTTTAACACGTATTTTATGACAATTTTAATGGATAAAACGTGTTCTAATTATTCTCATTATCATACACAAATCAGGAGTCATGAATGCGCACAAACAAAACATTGGATTGTCAAACTTCAACAAAAAAAAACTAATTATTAAAAAACGGGGTTAGTGTACATACATTAAATACATTAACTTTTGGATGGATGAACATGGATGAACATCATTTTTAATTTCGGAAAATTTAAGTTTCATGACATTTATTTCATAATTTCGTCACTTTAGTACCTTTTTTTCTTTTCTTTTTTATTTTATTTTTCTCCGCAGCTCCTTTCTTCTCCTGAATCTTAAATGGGTTTTTTTCTTCCTATAAGGTAGGATTTAAATGATAGATCTATAAAGAAATGGATTTTGGTTATTCAAATCGACCTTTTGTTATTTCTGGCGAATCAAGTAACGACTAACACAATCTATATTAAGCCATATTAATTGTGTGGAAAATTCATGAAAGTGATGTTTCACATCATTCAACTCACCTGAATTGTCCATACCCGCTTTTGTTCACAGATGACTATGATATACACAATTCCTTTTTTGAAACAACAAGTGTTATTTTATCGAAAAATACTTGACACAAACGTTACGACAATTTCGCTTATTATGCCTTAATAAAGAAAAATCCTCAAATTTTGATTTAATGACTTGCAGTTACATCCACTGCATCTTTAATTGTCACGTTCCCCCACTTTATTACCGCTTTAAAAGGATTATTTATAATATGCATGCGAAAATTATATTTATGCAAGGATTTATTAATTTTCTTTATGCTTTATCAGTTAGATGAAAATCATTTTTAATGGAATAATGATAATACCTAAAATAAAAAATTAATATTATCGTAACCCCTAAACAATATATGTGTGTGGATTGATAATCTATTTTTTTTTTTAATTCTTTTCAGAGTCCCTTACAAAAAGCATCATGTCAAATTCAGTTTTCAAATAATTATTAAACCGCAAAAGTTTTAAAGGGTCCGATTATGTAACTGACAAAACAGCTCTTGGTGTCAATAAATGTTCATGTTTTTTCTTTTTCTTTTTAATAATAAAAAAAGACATCATGTGCGAATTTTTTTTTTCTTTGACCAGATATTAGAATAAAGAAAAAAGTCCATATCATTATTATTAAGATTTTTCTTTGCAGGTAAAAAATGACAAATAAAACCCTTGTAATTGTTCCTTAAATTCCTTATCTTTGAAATTTTAATTAATTGCCCTTACCGGTTTGCTCCGACACGACATCAAACGTTCAGGAATTTCTGATAGCATTAAACGTCCTAAATTGAATTTTATTTATTAAACCACCATATGAAATATGATCCACTATAGTGTCCATACTTGGTGATTTAATGATCAATCAAAACTTTCGGGATTATCAATATCATTTGAATAAACAAGTTTATCTTTTTTTTTTTTTTTTTTTTTTTGAGAAACAGGTAATTTAAATTTTAAAAAAGGAAAAGGTGGAAACTGTTGCATCCTTGTTTAAAACGTTCGGGATGAACTTTTAATAGTAATTCGAAATTTAATTTGAAACCGAGGACAAATCAAATTTTCTTGTAATTAAATAAATGGGTACATAATTTTATCATATTTGGGATTTAATAACAATTTTTGGATTTACAATGGTCGATTTGGAAATTAATAAGTCCAATTTACGTTTAACTTTATTTACTTCCCCATTTTAAAATTTGAGAACCGGTTCACAAATTCTTTTGTGTAAAATGATTTTATTATTATTCGATCGTTGAAAAATAGAATTCACCTTCTGTTTACATGTGGTTTAAATTGCGCATCCCATTGTTTTACATAATTTGTCAAAAGAAAACCTAAAATTTCAAATGTGAAGATCCTGTAATCCTGATAAAAAATTTCTTGTATCTCGTCGGGATTTTCCTTTTGGAAATGATTTCAAGGAGTTTTCGCTCCAGAATAATTAAAAAGTCACGTCATTTGTTTCAACGTATTCCGAATGTTTCAAATGGTGAAATCATTTTAGCGATTGGATAAGAAAATAGATAAAGAAATAAAAAGATAAAGAAATCTATTAGGTAAAGTTGTGCTTAAATGTTTTGATCACACAATTTATTAAATTCAAAGAATCTTTGAATGGTTGCATGGTCTATCTATTGAGGATTACATAACCTTATCGAAACCCGTTATAGAATTACAATATTGGATATTGATTTTTTGACACTAAACAAATAAGTCATGCAACATTAGGTAGAGTAGGTTACATATTGATCCCTTTTCGATATTATTGCTTATTAATTTTCAGAATATGGACAATGCGGGGCCGATATTTGTTTGATATTGTTGTGAATGTCGTGATGATGTTTGCATGTTATCGTGATCTGAAGTTTCGAAACTTCTGCCGGTCATTGACGTGATACGTGATCGCAATGTCACAACAAACAATGTATAACATCACATGAAAGTCGCAATGTCACAATGACACAACGGACGGAATAAACGTCACAGGTAATTAATTATTTTGAACATTTTCGAACAACAATTGCTGACTTTTGGGAAACTTTCTCCCAAACAATAAATAAATAAATAAATAAATAATGATTTACGACGAGCTGTAAAGAGTACACAATATGACCGTTTATTGTGATACAAACGTAAGCGACAAAAAAAAAATTGTTTCCTCTTATACAAACAATAATTGTGACTTTATTTGTATTGTGTTGAAGAATTCGAATTCGAGAGATGGTTTAATTTTGTGGCTAAGTTATTGTTTATTTAGGCTGAATGAAATTTTTTTATTTATTTAGGAGAACAATGATTGTACGCGAAACCATAAATCCCGTTTTTTTTTTTTTCTTTTCAACTCGATTAAAATTAAATCAAGCGAAGAAATTAACAGGCCATTACGTGAAAATAGGTATTAATCGGTCTTCATTAAACAATATGAATGGATACGAAATAATACCGTTGAGCTCTTTTATTATTCGAGTAATGAATGTATGTAACGTTTTAACCTTAAAAGCTATATTCTATATTTTTTATTTACGAAATTGTTTTGAAGTTAGAAATGTTGGTGATGAAAAAAAAAAAAAAGATTTTAAAGATCTTTTGAGATATTTTCCTATGTTGAAATCCGTGTAACATCACCTGACCATGCAATACGGCTGCAGGAAAATGCACTTTCGAGGCGTTATTACTTTGACACACAATATAAAACAAAAATTTTTCTCAATTTAGGAGGAACCCGAAAGTATATATGACTTTACCATAAATACTAATTCACATGTATGTATTTTTTATTTTTATTTTTATTTTCACTTTTTTTTTGAAAAGTAAACAAGTTTCTCAAAGAATTTACTAAATAATATTAGGTTTAAATTATATGCTAATATAGAGAATTGTTTGCGGATTATCATCCTAAACTCGTGATTTTCTTTCAAAAAGTCGGGTTGTTTGAAGTCGACAGACGCATAAAATCAACATTAATGCAATTGCATGCGAAATTGACATGGTTTTTATAATTTTGATCTCATTAACTAGGTGAAAATAATATGATTTCAGCATGAACTAATGAAATAAAGTTTACGAATTCAAAAGGAAGAAAAAAAAAAACGAGAATGAGACTTTGATGAAGATAAACCTGAATAACCCAATGATATCGCAACGTAATCCCGTTCATGCACTCTGGTACTGTGCAATATCGGAGATTTAACTATTTCAAATTTTTTTTTTTTTTTTTTTTGTAATTTTTAATCCTATGAAAAATTCTGAACTTTATATTTTCCGAGAACAATCAAACTACTTTGTGCATTTTCCTTTCGACCTTACGGAAAAAAGTGAAAGAACCAAAATTATCTTGATTCAATCGAATTAGGTTGATAATTATTAATTATCAATGTGCTAGGATCTATTTTGTAACTAGTTAAAACGCCAAAACAATGATTTCATTGTCTCCATTGTCTCCGGAAACTTGTTCCATTAGTAGACTCGTAACTTTACATCTCAAGTTATACTTTTATCATGCAATACAATGTATTTATATTTGCAATTTTCTAAGAATAGAATAAAATACTTTTTATTTATTATTTACAAAAAAGTTATATTATTACAAGGTATACATAGTAATTAATGATAAAGAAATTTGTATCATATTTTAAGGTAAAAATGAACGTATTTGATATATGACGGTGAAGAAGCTGCGTATTGTGAAACATAAAAGTGATGCGAAGGACTTTGGGAAAATACGCGTGAAAGGAGAAG